ACCCATGTGGACGTTGCTTCCCGTCACGGGCCCGACCCGAGGTAAGGGTGCGCGGGACGGCGGGCGTTTTCCCGGGTTTTTGGAGCGACGCTTCCGCTCGGTTCCCGGCCCTCCGGCTGCTTCCGGCGCCGCCTCCGTGGGGTGTCCTGAGAGCAGCGGGCTCGGGGGAAGAGACCCCGTTTCGGTGGCCGAGCGCTGCGCGGGCTCTTCGGGGCGGCGTGGGCACTTGGGTCATATTCGCGCCATTCGCGCCCCCTCAGTTCTGCGCTGGAGACCAGCTCCGCCGGGGCCTGCGCGACTGACCGGCGGCGCCGCCCGACGGTTACAGCTCTTGGGGGATCCCAAGTTGGGACGGGGCCGGGAGTCTCCCAGCACGTTATTTTGATTGTAAAGGTGCACAGACACGGCATCCATAGCCACCTACCATTCGTCTATGTCAGACTTTGAACAGTAGAATCTCTTTTCGGCATGTGCTGCGTGGGAAAGGGTTTCCCGTTGCAGTCGGCTCGGTGGAGCCTGTAGCTCCCGGTACTCGTCGGCAGGGGCCCGGCTCTAGCCTGTGATTGGCCCTGGCCCGCAGTCCCTTTGCATTCTGATTGGCACGGGCAACTTCTATGCAGATGTCAAATGGTCAGTGTGCGGCCGGTTGCAGAGAGCGAAACTAATGGTAGGGGAAAGGAATACTCTAACGGCTTGGAGATAAAGCTCTCCCCGTGGCTTGCAAGACCGGCAGATGTGCGACCTAAACTTGTTGGCATAGGTCCTTGGGAGTGTTGGAAGAACACGCCCCGTGTCTGACTGTGGCTCCCCATAGCATGGTGGTGGTGGTGGTAAACAGGTACCCTCCAGTCAATACAGCCCCATGGAGACCCCGTGTGCAACCTACTGAAGCACTGTCTGGTCCTGCGCCATCCTCACAATTGTTCTTGTGTGTCAGCCCATTGTTGTAGCTACTAGGCCAGTACATCTTGTTAAAGGTCCTACTTGCTTTTGCTGCCCGTCGACTTTACCAAGCCTGATGTCCTTTTCCCTGGGACGGGTCTCACCTGATAACATGTCCAAGGTAGCAGAAGGAAATGTCTGTAGCATTGATGGCCAGCATGCCTAACTTTTGTGGCGGTCATGATTCAGAAGTTTGGGGAAAGATGGACCCATCTTACTAGGGGGTGGTGGTGGTAGATAAACCAACCCAAAACTTGTTTCTCTGAAATGACCCACCTGAAGCTTAGAATCTCTGATTGACAGGAGGCAACCAAAGCTCCTAGAAAGGCGTTGCTGGACCACTTCATGTCTAGTGTATCGACCCTCCTGTTCCTGTGGTGCATCTAGAGTCATCTTGTTACCTCTCCCCTGTTAGAACAGACTTAGACCAAATTCTAAGTCTACAACTTGCGGTTTTTCACTTTTATTTAAAACAATAACCCTTTCTAGCGCAGTTCGAAATGCTGTCTTTAACATTAAAATACTGATAGATAAGTACACATGGATCTCCTGTGGATTTATTGCATTGATTTATGTTGTTTATCCTTGATCCAAAGAACATAATTCCTGATCCAAAAACAATACTTTTCGCTTTCAGGTAGGGAAAATGCCTGCAATATTACTCAAGTCTTTCCTTGTTATCATTTTTAATAGTATATTTTAAAAATGAAGTTTTGAATTAGTTTATCAAGTTCCAGGAGTCTGGGAAAGTGGGGGGAGCAAATATAATTAAGCTCCTGGACGACTACTTGAAAGGTTGGCCATTCAAACCTACTAAGAGGTGCCTCAGAAGACAGGCCTGGCAACCTGCTTCCAAAGATCATAGCCTAGAAAGTCCCTTATTTTGTTCAGGTGGAGTCTCCATGAGTTAGCTTCGACTCGGCAGCAGTTAACAATAACATAAGTTACTTTGGGGCAGCATTAACTCCTTGCTATACTATATATATATATTTTTCCTTTCAGAAGCATGGAATGATTTTCCATCCATTTAGATAATCTTTGGTATGACTAGAGAAGCACATCCAGGAGATTCATGTGGATTAGAAAGAGCTTTATTATATAAAAGAGCAATTGTATATTGAGAAAACATCCCAACCCAGTCCAGATCAAGTCCATGAGTTCAGTATTAGCCCGTAAGTCGGATATTCGCCCATAAATTTCTCTTGAGACTCCCACAACACATGCAAGGATGCCAAATCCAGGAAGATCATAGGTCAGTGCATGGAAAGTCTTGTGGATCCAGTGGCAGTGGAAGCATCTCAGCGCTGGCAGGTCTCCATGTGGCTCCTTCAGCTCCAGGGCTCTAGCATAGCTCTGTGTGTTGTGTCCGCAGGAATGTCTTGCAGGGAGTGAGTGTGTGTCCTGCCTCCAGTGAGCTATTTATCTCCTTACAGCTTCCGAATGAAGTCATCAAACTGTGACCTGATTAACAGGCTAAACTCCACCCCTTTACTCTTAAGTCTCAAATTGACAACAGATTATGTAACTAGCACATTCAGTAAGACTTTAATAGAAGGCACAAGTTTGATTTTATATGAGTAGCACTTAAGTAAAATTTTTAAATGTTAAGCATTTGTCACAACTATATTATGTCTATACATCCATGTATGCC